TAAATTACATCTCTTAAAAAGTTCAAAATGGTTTCTGCATTTAATTAGAAAATATTTTTATATGTATAATTACGGTAAGTTAAATAAATGATTTTTTAATGTGTTTATAGTTTAAAATAGCTTTAATTTTTATTTTTATTAAACTTTTAGATTAGATTTTTATACAATAATAGAAGCATTATAAATATATGTATAGTTTAATGAAAATTGCAAGTTATTATTGAGTACATATTAACTTTTCTCGATGTTCGGAGGATGAAAAACCATTATATTTCCTCATAAAATGTAAGAAAATGTGTTTCTGTACTTTAAATTACATCGCCTCTTAAGAAAATGTACATTACTTATAAGTTATCTTAAGTTATAAACCAATTAAAAGCACAAAATTTTCTAGTCTAATTAAATTTTTAATATTATCTAGGTATTTACATTGTTAAACATATATAAAAAAATTAGCAATTAAAATTGCTTTCTTAAAAATAAAGAGATGGGAGGAAGGAGAAGAAGAACAAGAAGAAGAAAAAGATAAGTTGGCCAATTCTGTTATATTTTATCGTGAAGAGTTGACACTGCAAAACAGCTTTTCTGTCAAACTTGTTTGTTTAAAGGAAAAAACTACTAACCAGATTTTTGATCTTTCCTGTTAAAATACTGTAAATCGAATTAAGCATTGTTTAAAAATTATTTACAAAACAATAATTGTAAACAAACTAAATATAATTATTTTCTTTAAATTAAACTTTATAAGATTAGAATACTGTATGTAATTTATTATATTTATATTTTTCCACTTCAAATTTTACTTATATTTGTCATAAAATATTGAATAATACCAATATATAATTATGTTATCATTAAATAGTTTATGAAAACAAATTTTTAAAAATATAGTGAACAAAATGAAATGTTAAATGTGTTTTTATTAAATCATTACGGGAAATTCGTTGTGGGAATTTAAAGATAGAAATAAATGTTTATAAAATAAAAAAAATATTTAAATTATTGATAAGTTTTTTAATAGAAAAAAATTTAATTATTTATTAAACTTAACTAAAATCAAATTTAATTATATTAAAATTCTATAGAAACGAACTTAGAGTTTGAATAGACAAGACGATATAGGCTAGTAACATCGCTTTCAATATAAAATCAAGAAATTATCTTCGTGTAGGCTATAAACATCAATGTCAATAAGTAGAATTCACAAAACAAATTCCTAATTTGATCATTTTTAATAATTAAAAATCATAATAAAACAAAAATATTAATTTTCTTAATTAAAATTTGAATGTTTTCATCAAAAACTAAGCCAGTTATAAAAGGACATTAATTCTTGTATTTGAATATGAAAGAGCCAAACATATTTTCTTGTTAATACAATTTATAAAAAAAATCGTTTGTATAAAAAAATCTTATATAACTAGCAATTAAAACATAATATTTTAACAAACTAAGTTTATATCTTGTCAAAAATTTCTAAAATTGTTGAAAAATGCAAATTAAACAAACTTTTCTTGCAGATTTACTGCTGGGCCCCTTTACAGATAAGCTTACCTATAATTAAAGATGTAATGAAGGTCAGTCTTATAATTTATTTTTGCTACTAATTAAAATACTTATTTTAAAAAAAATCTATATATTATTCTTACTTTGCCTGGAAAATAGGAATTTTCGTAAATTGCGAATTATAAGAACAAAGCACATACTGTATTTACAGTTAAACTTCTTTAATTTCCCATAAAAAAAACATGAAATAAAACTTAAAATCCATAAATATCAAAATGATAAAATAATATATGTTTAAAGTTATTAATTTTAATAATACTTCAAATATCTACATTTATCTATTAAAGATAAGGCATTGACTCATATCAAATCGAAATATCCAAAGGAATTAGTTGAAAGAAAAATTGAAATAATTAATCAAATTAAAGGAACATTTTAAGAAAGTTTACTCGCAAAATAAAAACGGAGAAGTAGCTAACAAAATTAATAATAAATCTTACTTTTGTATGTTGTAAAACGTGAAAATTCAATGAAGCTTAAGAAATTTATCACTGTCATTAAACTTCATTGGATATTAGATTAGCTGATTCGAATCTATTAAATCGTTTACCTCCCTTTATAACAAAAGACATTAAACAAAAGTATTAAGTAAACACTCTTCATTACAACTCACTTCAATTCTTGTTTTTATTGCAATCGAGTTGTTTTGTGTCCATTCCCAATGAAAAGAAAAGTTAGATTGATTGAACCTTGGACTGGCTTCTTTATATAAAATGCTTCAATGGAAAAATACCATGCATTGATTTCTAATGAAAATAAATAAATAAATAAATAGGCTTAATTATCTTTGGAAAAATCATTATTATTAATCTTGAAAATATTATATATTTTAAATTTAATAATTTCAAAATAGTTTGGCCAAGTATTTAATTTTATGTACTGTATTTAGGCCTTATATTCATGTTTAAAAAAAAACTTTGTAACTGTATTTTATATTTATTATCTGTAATTGATACTTCAAAAGTGTGATAAATGATATCGAATTTAATCGTAATTTATATGGAATACTTGTATTCTCATTAAAGTTGAAAATACAATATTTTGATTATTCAAAATATAAATATTCAGTTACTTTATATGAGAAGTGTATGTTAAAAAATTAAAATATGGAAAAAAATAATAATTAATATGAAAAAGTTAGCCATTTGCTTGTAAATTTGAACATAATTTAATTTAAAAATTAAATATAATAAGCTGGCAACATATTAATCTCAATGAATATTAATGTGAAGCAAGCAAGCAATGTTTAACAGTTGATTCACACCCGAAGTAAAATGCTTGAAAAAAAATAATAATAACTAAGCGAATTCATTCATTTATTTTGTTTTTTTAGTCAGAAAGCTTTTTTCTATAATTAATTTATTATTGCAATCACTGTCTGTGCCAGAGACGACAGGCTTAGCCCCAATTCGAATTACAGTAGCCTCCTATAGAAGCATGGCTGATAGTTGCAATTTTCCGAAGAGACAGCGTGAGGCTCTGAGGGTGGGAGAAAGAAGTGGAGATCTTATGGAAGACTCAAGCGTCTGACAAGCAACAGCAATCTCGTCAGACTCGCAATTACCCGAGATCGGGAGGTGGAGGGGTATATTCCCACCCCGTCAGGGAACGGGTGAGTAAAAATGCGAAGGAATTAATCATTCTTTGACAGTCTCCTAATCACTGCAGACCAGACTCCCTGGTCCCAAAATCATACCACTTTACCTCCCCTCCTCTGTTTACGTCAGGGTTGTCTCCTGTTCTTCCTGGCGCGGGAGGAACAAAAGGACCTCCTTCTCGACTGGAAAAAGTCAGTTAGTTTTTCTTTGTCGCCTGTTATTAGATAGACCATACAATGGATATTGAAGCAACAATTCCAAAGAAACATGTTACTCGCATCGACTATAAGAATACGTGGTGGCAATTAATGTCTATTTATATAGGCCTAGCATTCAAATGACCTATGATCTTTATTCTTTTGAAGAAGGCAGAATTTTTATTAAGCTCTCTTCAAACATTTTCTCTGTAAGATTTGAGCCGAGAAAAAATTAAAAACAATCTTATCTAATGCAATTTTGCTTTCACTTCTTACGTAGGGTTGTTTTTTTTATTCACATTTGACTATAATGTGTTATTAAGTTAATTACCTAGATTATGACGAATTATAAAAGAAAGTTTCCTCAAGATACATTACACAGAACAACAATCAAATTCAAGTTTCAATACTGACGTTCACAGAAAAAATAATTACTTTCATATACTGTATTCGACTTGTTTGTCATATGTCATGTAATTAATTCAAAATGAAAACTGGAATCTAAAATTAAATCAAAGCTAGGCCTACCAGGCTATAAATGGTATTACACTCACCAGAAACTTACCTGATTTTTAGACTGCATATTCAAGTTTCATTGCGAAAATATTGTTAAAACCTGACCCATATATGTTAATTTTTTAAATATTTTTGTAGGCTGTAATGTTCACTTGTTAATTAAAATAAGAAACGATTTATAAAATATTTTTGGTGTTAAAATAGACTAAACTTTACTACTTAACTGAACTTAATTGTAAGAACGATTGAGATATGAGAATTAAATGACTAACAAAGGCTTTCATTTCTCACAAAAATCATTATCAGAATTCGGTTTCAAATAACGTGAAATAATTTCTATTCATTTCTATGAATATATGAACTTAAACTTTGCAGATCAATAATTTATTTAACATTTATACTTCTCGATTACGGATCATTAAACACAAATTCTGATGTAAATATAAATTATGTTTTAATCATTTTTTAACTTTTGACTAATCATTAGTCGGTAAATATCGATCTTTTATAGTTAAATTCGATTATATGTTTTTGCATTCTGTGCAGAATATATCTATAATATCTTAAATATAGTCTATACAGGCTTATAGGTGTGTGATCTTGACATTAAAATTTTCAGTCATCCTTGACACAATAAATAGTCAGCTGGGAGGAATAACCACACCTACACCAACTAGTTGCAATAGTCCAATATCCATCTCATCTTTAAACGGGTGGACGTACCAGCCGTTTGAACATCATTAATATCTCTCCCTCCTCCAGCTACTTTCACGATCGTGACGGGTTCATTATTTATACGTAGTCGAGACGAGAAAGCAAAGCCTTTGATGTCTCAATTCTTATATATATATAGGCCTATAGATGTATAGATTTGTAATGCCGCATTTATATTCTCTTCTAATTGATTGATAAATCATTGTTCGCGGGTTTATACTTGTTAAAAATTGACATCAGTTGTATGAAAATGTGATGAAGCGATCATTTGAAGTTTAATTGTTTGTGTTTTACTTTACCCGTAGTGTTTACTATGTTGTTACAATACGTGTAGGCTTGTAAGTGATGATCACCCGTATAATTTTATATTATTAATCGTGTTGTTTGAAAATAAATATATTGTGAAAGTGTAAGTGATTGTCAGCAAACGAAAAACAAAACGATGTTGGAAATAGCATCGATGTTTATTTGTTTCTAAAAACAACACCGGTTTATATTGATGGGCTCTGTGGTGGGTGCATAAAGAAATGGTGCAGGCACAACTTTTTTTGTACCAGTTTAAAATAAAAGATAGAGAACGTGGGAAGATAGTTGGGAGTCAAGTGTATAGAAAAATACATGTACAATGAAAGTGAGCGACAATATTATAGGCCTGTACAAAGACAAGCATGATTGTACAAGAATTTACATTTTGGGATTTTTTTTCCACAAAGATCGTCACTGTGCTTTTCCTCGTAGCTTTAAAAATGAATAATTTAACAAGAAAATGGGCCTATAGTCTTATAAGAACATAAGCACGACAATTGAACTAGTCTATTATCATTAAGTATCTATTGTACAAAGTAGCAGATAACTTCTCATAAAATTAAAGGCCTAGAGTTATTTATAAATAATTATGAGATGAAACATGTTATGGGGCGTCGTAAATGGTTATAAACAATTATACAAAAAAACAAATAAAAAACAATGAGTATTTTTTATCATGAAGATATATGATGATATAGTTTATCGTTGGGGAAAAACTTACAATTCTAAACTAAAGCTGAATAAAATAAATAACTTTTTATAGTCCTTGAAAGGTAAACTATAATCCACGATATTGTAATTTAATATAAAACTTAAAATGTTGAGTTATGTATCTGCCGATTCGTGAAAGCAACATAGCATATTCAAACTTAAAAAGTTGGGGCAAAAATAGTTCTAAAGCTATTCTCACTTATTCTACAGGGCTATTTACAAGATGCAGTTTTTTTTTTGTTTTTTAGCTGTACACAATTCGGTTTCAGGACTAATACACCGGTCACACTAATTGCTGTTATTATATTTAGTACAGCAAAATCACTTTTCATTGGCTGCAATCTTTTTGCGTCGTCGCTGTTCCTCCCGAATTAGGTGAAACTGTTGGATTTTGTTGACCCGAATTCGATGTTGTAACGTCACCCGTCGGATTTTCCGGCGGTACTAAACCCTCTTTCATTCTTTTCTTTTGCTTCATCCTTCTATTTTGGAACCATATCTTGACTTGGGTCTCATTTAGTTGAAGAGCTGTGGCTATTTCGATCCTTCTTGCTCTTGTTAAATATTTGTTGAAATGAAATTCTTTTTCGAGTTCTGTTAGTTGTTTTGTTGTAAAGTTGGTCCTACCTGTTCCACCTGGACCTGCAGCTGCCCCATTGGTGCCCGTACCTCCACCACTAAAACCGTAATCGGTCTTATTCACTGAAAAAGAAAAGACATAGTTTAGAATTTTCGTGCCTTTGCCTAAGGCAATAGCATTGAACTACACTATAATCTACAAATAAACATGGCAAAAAGTTAGAATTAATGTTTAAAATACCATTTTTTACCATGAATATTAAAATTATTTATAATTTTACCACTAAAAATATCAATCTGTGAAAGTATTTATATTTTAAATAATAATTAAACAGAAATATTAAAAATTATATTCAGATACATTAAATAACTTAATTATAAATGTATTATTAATTTTATACTCAAATAAACTTAAATTACCGTAACTTTTTCAAGCTACAAATACACTTAGATTTACTTTTAATTACAATTACTAGCGTAAATTCCGATAGAAATTAAGGTTAAAGCTGTTTTCTTGTTATCCAATTAAATAAAAAAAGAGCAGCAGTCCATCGCACTTCGGTAGAACTTTCATGAATATTCAAAATAGTGCAATAAGATCGAGTGATTCCTCTGTTATTATTGACGTGAATACAACCTGAGCGATTATCAGTCTAGAGAAGATAGATTGTCAATTAAGAAACTGTTCGTCCGTTTCCATAATCGACATCAACTTGTGAGGTCGATTGAAAGATAAAGGGCTAAACGAAGACTTCAAGACAGCTTGTGACATTAGTAAGTCTACATTTTAAACATATTATATAAAAATATACAAAAATCTATTAATCATTTCATCTAAGCGATTAAGATTTTTTGCATTTTTGTAGCTCGTGAGTTGCATATTAATAACAGAGAAGCATGATTATAAAAGATTACTTATTTACAATAATTAAACCAATACTTTTAATTACTATACAGAATTATTGAAGATTAAAACTTATCGAAAAGTTTGCTAAATCATTATTTAACATTCGAAGCAATGAAACTTAAAATTAAATTAATTATTTTAATTTATATCCATTTTATTTTTTAGAAAATTAAATATTTAAATCACATAATTTATTAAGAATGTATTGAGAGCTAATGTTTCAACACATTTCTCTATAGGAAACAGCACATTTATAGACCTAAAACAATAGACTTATGTATAACTGTTTTTATTATTTTATTGTTTAAATCTTTTAAATAATATAAATAGTAAAAAATATATATATAATTAAGTCTAATTTTATCTTTAATTTTAACTAAAATCTGATTCTCCTTTCCATTCTTATACAATGTTACATTTAAAAATGCTTAACAACTGGCTAAAGAAATTAAAAATTCTAATCCTAATCATAAATGTTCACTGAAAAAGTGTAATATAATCATAAAATATAAAAGAAAATAGTTAAAATATGTATTTTAAAACGTTACTAGCGAATCATTTTCTTAGAGGTTTAATTATTATGTAGGCTTATGGAGAAAAATGCACGCCATTAAGCAAATTTTTTTTCTTTTGCATCTTTTCTCAAAAGGCTATCAAAAGCCAATTACAATAGTCGTCCATTTTCAATGTGAATACCTTTTCACGGGTTTGGATTGTATGGGTGTGTCAACTTTTATGTAATTTCACCTGTCTCTGCTTACCTGTCGGCAACACAAAGGCGGGAACTTCAGTTAACTTATCATTCCTATTATAGCTAGTGTGAAGTAATTAAATTAATTGTCAACACCCAAGAACATATCCCTGTTTATTATCCAAATTAATTTTTAATTAAAATTAAATATTGAATTAATTTAAATTTCGGATTGTAATTTAAAAAAGCGTTTATAAAATTTGAATTTTTATTCAAATAGTTTAAGTTAAAACTAGAATAATATATATTTAGGATAGAAAAAAAACATTAGACTATTATTACTGTATTTTTTTAATTTTAAAATAATTTTTTAACCATTTAATTGCGTTTGGATTATTGCAAGTTAATTAGAAAGTAATGAATTCTAATTTAGTTATTTGCATTATAAGTTAATAGTTGAGAATAACTTTTCGAGACGACCTGGTTTTAACCTAGACTAATAATATTAATTTTAAAGCTTGTGACATAACCTAATAAATTAAATATTCTGGTGTTGTACCGGAATAAACTAGTGAATCAACTTTGCATAATTCATTGCATAATTTAGTTCATCTCATCGTTTGATAAAATTGCAAATTTTTTATTATTTATTTATTGGAAACGGTCAATTTTACTAAATTTATTTACATTAAAAAAAAGTTGAAAATTTAAGTAAAAGTTTTAAGGTTAATCAAAAATTATTGCTTAAGAATGATCATCGATTAAAATTGTTTATAACGTACCGTCAATTTACTGCTATTTTTAATGTCTCTTTCGTTAATTTTATTAAATTTATTGTTAATTTTTTTTCTTTTTTAACTTTAAAATTCTATACGTTAAAGTAGAGCTGTGCTGGTTAGTCTGTTATTAACATGTTATTAACATTCTTGGATCCTTAATGATGGGGGTCTTTAGTAACTGGATCAGCAAGATTTCTTTCAAAAATCTGTATTTATCGCATACAGAATGATTTGTAAATTGTATTTAGATTTATTTCGAATATAATGATACAAATCTAATCATTTAAATTCATAAAATTGGATCATTAAAAAGTTAAAATGTTATATAAAATTTAAAAACTGCTACTGACTTATTTATATAATTATTTTGTCTAGTGATATTTATGTTCGATGCTTCTTGAAATTAGAAATTTCAAAATTATTACAAAGATGTAATTAGTAGATAGTCTAAATTATATTACAAAATGCAATGCTGTTAATTTTAACAATAATTAAGCAATTAAATGATGCAAATGTATATAAAATGTTACAATTTGATTTTAAACTATCCCAAATAAACTCGATCTTCGGCTATATGGGAAGGTCGTTGACCGTTTAACTTAGATTTAGCCTAAGGAAAAAAGGCAACAACATTGAAGGAGAAGGGCTTTAGTTGATTTGCTATATATTCTACCTATCATCACAAACATCGGGTTGGCATGACAAACTGGCTATGCTCCACCCACCTAGTACTATCATACTTTACGGTGCAAAAGAATGCCGAAATTCGCTCCGCTATCTCCAGCTCACGCACGTTTAGTTTGGACCACCTGTACCGTGATCCACCTGCCCTTATCGAAGGTTCTCAGTAAGGCACGAAATGCGTATAGTCTAACCAAAATTCCTCCCAAACTGGAAATTTTACACCAAAAGATCATAACCTCTTTCCCTGGGTCATAGACCTATTGATTAAAGTGATACAAGCACGATGATTAATTAATTTTTCAAGCCTGATAAATAATTTTTAAAACTCTTTAATTTCTCCGCTTCGGTTTCTTCGTAATAATGTAAAATTCAGTAGGCCCTCTAAGAAACGTCCCCGAGGACTAATAAACTATATTAAGTTTCGTGTTCGAGTAAAATGAAATGTTCAATAATATCGACGTCCCCAAGACAACTATCGAATAAATTTAACTTGTAATTTTAAAACTAGTCATTCAAATACCCTATAGTAATCAGTACGAGATGTTTATCTTCAAGGTTAGTTAAAGTTTGTAAGCTATTTATAACTCCAATCATGCTGATTACATTCTGGAAGACAAGATTTCCAGATTTCCCATTTCTCTTTAATGCTTTAATATTATGACAAACGCCTGGGAATTAACCTATGTAACAAAATTGCTGAAGGCTGGACAACAATGACCGATTGTACTCATTAGTCACAAATTTTGTAGTGAAACGTATGATCACGAAATAGTCCATTCGAAATAAAGATTACCCATTTCAGTCACGCAATTCTGCCTCATGCGAGTGACAGTTTTGCATCTCATCTACTTGGCCAATCACTTGATGAAGACTGGCCAATCATGCTCTGACAGAAGCCATAGGTAGGAGTAAACAAGTATATGTTTTACTGACAGTGGGCGGGTTTGGCTGTTAGTAGGAGACACGCACTCTCTGTTTCTGCTAATCAATCGTCTGCATTTACAGAAATAAAACAACAAATAAAGATCGTTGTATCCAACATTCCAACACATGTCGACAATTTCTCTTTGTTTTGTCTTCTTTAACTGAACAATAATAGGTTTCGTGCTCCAAGAATTAATGAAATTATAAAAATTTCAATATCATAAAATTCTGAAAGGTAGAAAGTTACACGTTTTGTTATATTTTTATTAATTTCATTAATGTTTTTTTTAAATAAAAACAACACAAACCGGTTTTAATAATACATAAGATCTACGTGGATCATAACATTTTCAAGTAGGACTAGTTTGCAAATTGTTGTTATTTGGTGCTAAATTTTTAAATTAAAGAAAGTAATTTAAGTATATTCACCTTTGTAATAATGTTATTTTATATATAATGTAAACTTACAGAAAAAAATGTGTAATAATTTATAAATTAATCTTTTCACAGTTGCCATGTTTATAAACAAACTCGACACCCCTTTTTTTATTTCTTAGGAAAATTTGTGGAAAAAAACTCGATAAGAATTTGGAAACAAAACATATTATGTTTTTTCATTAAAGATAAAATAGTTTGTTGAATACCGCATAGAGATTCTTTAATGAGAGAAGTGTTTGTTTGCTACAGTAGGCGCCATGTTGGCGTGTTTCGGCAATTCTGCCAAAGAGTATTCCATTCTATAAATAAGGGCTGAATAGTCGAATCGAGATCGGGCTAGGAGATAGGAGTACAACACAACTTTTTGAACAGCTGCAGGATACCAAAGATGGTTGTAATGTACTCCGTCATAACTGATAAGAAACTGAATTGGTAGTAAAATTTTTAAATATTCATATTAGAAATTCCATAAAATACAATTGAACAGAAAGTAATAACTTGATCTACTTTTTAAAGATTGAATCAAGTTATATAAAGATAAATTCCAGTCTTTAAATTTAAGATTATTCTATATTTTATGAAATTGAGGAGAAAATAAGTTGAAATAATAATATAATGTGTTGTATATTTTATTAATTTATGAGAAAATTATGATCATTTTAAGAAAATCTTATGTTTATGTAGTACTGTACCTATTTCC